GATCTCTCTAGAAGTTCTTTAGACGTTGGGAAGCGGCGATTCAACAAGCCAGAAACCTGAATAGCCGCTCAAATTTCTGCTGAAGGGTTTGAACATTTAGAGTTTATGGGCTCGATAATGACTGCTTCATTCTTCCATACGAATATATTGCCTTGAAGGCTAGCAATTTAAGCAGCTCGATGTATTACAGTACTCCATATGAGATATTCCAAGGCTAGCAATTCTCTAATTTTGACTAAAACTTTATTTATCATTTATACGATTAAAAATAAACACTTTATTTTTCAGTTTTAACACGTTTTTATTTTAAATCAACATGGAGGGGCTAATTATAGCGCATTAAAAGTTTTTTATTTTTGTAATTAATTATTAACTCACACTTAATAATTATCCAGTCATCATTTAAAATACTATATATTCAACTTAGTTGGCATCCTGGAGTATTGATGTGAAATTGAATAATTTCTGGGAGTAGTGGTGTACATTATTGAATTTCGGAGTATTAACGTAAACTCACAAATTTCTTTGAGTATTCATGTGAATTTTTCCCTAGAATTAACACTTCACACACATTCTGGGAGTTGGTTGCTTGATATTTCATAAAGTGAGTAAACTATCTCAAGGATTCCTTCATCACCGGTGCTACTCCTACAATCACTTATCCTGGGGTTGATTCACAGGTAAATTAATGCAACCTTAAGTTATGTTTGGTTGAAGGTCTTTCTTTTGTGTGTGTGGGGGGGTGGGGGGGGGGGCTCTTGAGGGGATGGCTGTGCAGGGCTTAGCTTAATCTGGTAAATAAACCCAACTCCCAAACAAAAATGCCCTCATTTTAAGAAAATAAGCATGTCAGAGTATAATATAACACTTTCCATTTTTACAAATTGCAAATGTACATCCCTCCCAACTCCCAAATAGAAATGCCCTCATTTTTAAGCAATTCAGCATGTCAGATAAAAAATATATGCAATTTCATCTTCCTAAGCACATAAAATTTCAACTTTAGAATGTACATAAGGACCAAACCTCAAGAGAAGGTGTGTGTGTTTCTGACCGGGACCACTGGGAATTTGTCCAGCACTCCTCGGGAACAGAAGGGCGCGGCCGGATACGATCGGAAGACGCAGAGGCTAAAATTTTAACAACTGGACCTAAGTGTTATTTATGCACAGTGGATTTTTATTCAACTATTGATATAAGGGCTAGCATACCAGGTATGGATTATTGAGTGTTTTTAGAATAATATATATGTGTGTGTTAAAATTTTTAACACAATATACCAGTCCATGCCTTTTAATTAAGTTGCAGATCCTATAAATTAGTGTCCTGCCTTGGAACTGTCTTGGCAAATGAAGAAATTCTTGGAGTAAGTGAACCTGGAGAACATTCTTTCATTAGAATGGTATGCTTTAGATATACATGGTCAGTTTTGTGTCTTTATCTTCTTGAGTTGAATTTTTTTCTTCTTAATTTTTTTTCTATTTTGTTCTTATTTTAAAATGTTGTTTATGGTAATAGCCGTTCTGAGGTCTAGAAGAAAAACATAAATAAGAATCACTCTGAGAAGTAGATGAGATACAAAGGCTCAAAGAGGACACTGGAGCTAATAACAGAAGAAAACTGAAGACACTTCGTTTCAATGTTAACATAGACTTCCAACGACAATATATGCTTATCTGTACTTTGTTTTTTACAGTAGCTTTTCTTCTTTTATTTTTAATCTAATCTCGACGAGTAAATATGAACATCATGGTTTTGTTATAGGTTGTTTGCACCACTCGCAGAGCCTCTTCGGTGGGACTACTGTATGTAATCTTTCTTGCTTAGTAATATAATACTACCTTGGAGCACATATTATTTACTCTTTTAGAAAAATAAATGTGTTATGTTTTTGGGGGGGATACACCATAAAAGATAGTGTCCAAATTAAACCGGGATGGATGAAGTATATCTAATACTCCCTCCGTCCTAAATATATTTATCATGTATAGAATTTACATGC